CGCAACTACCATATCGGGTAGTTGCGACCGTGCGCAACACCCAAAGGGGTAGTTGTGACCGTGCGCAACTCGTGCGCAACCTGGTCGCAACATGTTGCTTATACTGATTGATGATGGAAAGTAGGAGTGAAATAAGCTGTCGACGGCTTATTATTTGAAAGTGGTGATTGCGACCGTGCGCAACTACCATATCAGGAAGTTGCGACCGTGCGCAACCATTAGTAAGCGTGCGCAACTACCATATTAGGTAGTTGCATCCATGCGCAACTACCATATTTATAGGGTCAAAATAGAAATAGGTTTCAAACTTGTGAAAAAATATCTTTTGGCGGGCTGGTACATATCATAGAGGGTATCGATAGGATGGATATGAGCCAACAATTAAGAAAAACGGCGGTTGGATCGTGGAGATATGTCCAAAATACTGATATTTGAGCCAACCTCCCATATCACAATAATGCTGACCTCTGGAAGGTCTGGGACCATTCCCAATCGATTCACAGGCCTCAAATACCTTAGGAGCAATGTTTGCAGTATCGGTATTGAGGTGGAATACCGGGATAGTGACATACATGAGGTCAGGAGGAGGAGGAGGACCTTGTATATCTCAGGAACACGATTTTTCCAGGCAATTCTGGCTTTACCATCGTGTTCAGAGGGCTCAATAGCCCCCAGGAAAAATGCTTTTGAAGGACAGGCTAGTCATATGAAGTCTAGAAAAATCGATCTTTGGGTGGGGCAGCATGACTTGGGTGGCCAACTTTGGAACATGATTTTTAGAGCGAAATCCGGCTCGACCAACGTGTTCAGATGGTCAAATAACCTCTAGAATGAGTCCTACCTAAAGCCAAGCAAGCCATATGAAGGCTGAAAAAATCGATCTTTGGGTGGGGGGGGGATGACAGGGGCAGCCAACTTTGGAACATGATTTTTAGAGCGAAATCTGGCACGACCAACGTGTTTGTATGGTCCAATAACCTCTAGAATGAGTCCTACCTAAAGCCAAGCAAGTCATATGAAGGCTGAAAAAATCGATCTTTGGGTGGGGGAGCATGGCATGGGTGGACAACTTTGGAACATGATTTTTAGAGCGAAATCCGGCTCGACCAACGTGTTCAGATGGTCAAATAACCTCTAGAATGAGTCCTAGCTACAGCCAAGCAAGCCATATGAAGGCTGAAAAAATCGATCTTTGGGTGGGGGAGCATGATAGGGGTGGTGGTCAACTTTGGAACATGATTTTTAGAGGCAAATCTGGCATCACCAACGTGTTTGTATGGTCCAATAACCTCTGGAACGAGTCCTACCTAAAGACAAGCAAGCCATATGAAGGCTGAAAAAATCGATCTTTGGGTGAGGCAGCATGACAGGGGTGGTCAACTTTGGAACCTGATTTTTTTGGACCAATCGAGCATTGCCAGCTCGTTCAGAGGGCTCAATAGCCTTGGGAACAAGTGCTGCAGGAACCCCAGCAAGCGATATGAGGGCCAAAGAAATCAATCTTGAGGGGAGGCAGCAAGATAGGGGCAGTGGACTCAACTCAACTTTGGAACTTGATTTTTATGGACCAAGAAGACATGTCCAGCATGTTCATATGGTTCAATGGCTTCAAGAACAAGTTCTAGTCAAACACAGACGAGTCATATGAAGGCTGGGGAAATCAATCTTGGGGGGAGGCAGCATGACAGTGGGACTGCTTATATAAGCAAAAATGCGCTCACACAAGTTTTTCTCTTTCTCCCTGCCCACTCTCATCCATTGATAATGGTGCCATTTTTTTTTTACTTTTCTTTCACTTTTTTGTGGGTTTGGGGGTCATGCTGGTTGTCTTCCCTTCATGGGGAACAAACTGTTGATAATGGTACCAGTGTGTCTTCCTGTTCTCACTTTTTCGCTTTTTTGTGGGTCTGGGGTGATACTGGTTGTCTTCCCTTCATGGGGAACAAACTATTGCTAATAGTACCAGTGTTTCTTTCCTTCTGTTCTCACTTTGTTTTCGCTGTTTTGTGGGTTTGGGGGTCATGCTGGTTGTCTTCCCTTCATGGGGAACAAACTGTTGATAATGGTACCAGTGTGTCTTCCTATTCTCACTTTTTCGCTTTTTTGTGGGTCTGGGGTGATACTGGTTGTCTTCCCTTCATGGGGAACAAACTATTGCTAATAGTACCAGTGTTTCTTTCCTTCTGTTCTCACTTTGTTTTCGCTGTTTTGTGGGTTTGGGGGTCATGCTGGTTGTCTTCCCTTCATGGGGAACAGACTGTTGATAATGGTACCAGTGTGTCTTCCTGTTCTCACTTTTTCGCTTTCTTGTGGGTCTGAGGGTGATACTGGTTGTCTTCCCTTCATGGGGAACAAACTATTGCTAATAGTACCAGAGTGTCTTTCCTTCTGTTCTCACTTTTTTTTCGCTTTTTTGTGGGTCTGGGGGTCCTACTGATTGTCTTCCCTTCATGGGGATGTTGGCTCCTCCCCTTCATGGGGGCTTCATCTCTGCTAGAGGTGGTCAACTTCTGCTTATATTTTCGCTTTTGTGTGACTTTTGCTTTCTTGTTGGCTTCTCCCCTTCATGGGGGCTTCATCTCTGCTAGAGGTGGTCAACTTCTACTTATATTTTCGCTTTTTTGTCACTTTTTGCTTTCTTGTTGGCTTCTCCCCTTCATGGGGGCTTCATCTCTGATAGAGGTGGTCAACCCTTTTTATTTTCGCTTTTTTCACCTTTTCACTTTCTTGTTGGCTCTGGGGGCTATTTGGGTGGCAAAGTCCTGGTTTCTCCCCTTCATGAGGGATACATCTCTGCTAGAGGTGGCCAGGATTTTCGCTCTGGGGGTTATTTGGGTGGCAGGGTCCTAGTTTCTCCCCTTCATGGGGGACACATCTCTGCTAGAGGTGGCCAGGATTATCGCTCTGGGGGCTAATTTGGAAGCAAGGTCCTGGTTTCTCCTCTTCATAGGGGATACATCTCTGCTAGAGGTGGCCAGGATTTTCGCTCTGGGGGCTAATTGGGAAGCAAGGGTCCTGGTTTCTCCCCTTCATGGGGGATACATCTCTGCTAGAGGTGGCCAGGGTTGTCGCTCTGGGGGCTATTTGGGTGGCAAGGTCCTGGTTTCTCCCCTTCATGGGGGACACATCTCTGCTAGAGGTGGCCAGGATTTTCGCTCTAGGGGCTATTTGGGAAGCAAGGTCCTGGTTTCTCCCCTTCATGGGGGATACATCTCTGCTAGAGGTGGCCAGGACTTTCGCTCTGGGGCTAATTTGGAAGCAAGGTCCTGGTTTCTCCTCTTCATAGGGGATACATCTCTGCTAGAGGTGGCCAGGATTTTCGCTCTGTGGGCTATTTGGGTGGCAGGGTCCTGGTTTCTCCCCTTCATGGGGGATACATCTCTGCTAGAGGTGGCCAGGGTTGTCGCTCTGGGGGCTATTTGGGTGGCAAGGTCCTGGTTTCTCCCCTTTATGGGAGACACATCTCTGCTAGAGGTGGCCAGGATTTTCGCTCTAGGGGCTATTTGGGAAGCAAGGTCCTGGTTTTTCCCCTTCATGGGGGATACATCTCTGCTAGAGGTGACCAGGATTTTCGCTCTGGGGGCTATGTGGGAAGCAAGGTCCTGGTTTCTCCCCTTCATGGGGGACACATCTCTGCTAGAGGTGACCAGGATTTTCGCTTTTCATAGAACATGAACTAAGGAGTAGTTACAACAATGTAAATTTCAGTATCTAGTAAAGACTTGAATGTGTCTTGACAGTCCATTGTAAGGTGGTGACAGAAACCCAACAAGTGTTTGACAATAAATTTCGCTTTAAGGGGTATTTTTGGCTTCATCTCACCATGAGGATATCACCTCTGCTAGATGGGGCCAACAAGTGCTCTGTACTGTATCATAATTGTTGGTGAGAGATGAGTTACCACTATGTATCTCATTATCCTGCAGGAATATTAGCTACATCAAGCCCCATACCCAGTCAACACTTATCCATCCTACGGATTGCTACCGGTAGCTCGTTACACCAAGACCTTGATACCTAGACACCTAGACACCTCGATAACTTGTAAAGTCACAGGTCATACAGCAAGTCAAGCTATATGATAGCGATCAAGCAATGCCAGAGCCATAAAATGGCAAAAGTCAAGCAAAGTCAAGCAAAATTGAAACGATGTTTTGACCTCGGCCGATGCGTCGCCCCAGACAAGATCAAGCATCCCAATAGCATCAAATCAGCAAAATAACTAACCCAAGATATGGCCAAAATACTGACTGTTGAGCCCCATTGACATACCTCATTATTTTGACCTTCAGATGCTCTAGGATCATCACCGATCGATTCCTACACTTTACAAACCCCAGGACTGGTTGGTCTCACCCCTTCATGGGGGTTATACTATTGATAATAGTGGCCAACTAATTTTTGCTTCTGGGGATATATGAGCTGGGCTATTGGCTTCACCCCTTCATGGTGGTTTCATCTCTGCCAGAGATGGCCAAATTATGTCGCTTCCGAGGGTATTTGGCTTCACCCCTTCATGGGGGTTTCATCTCTGCTAGAGGTGGCATAACTTTCGCTTCTGGGGTATTTTGGCTTCACCCCTTTTAACAAACACAAAGTCACTGCGGAAACGAGAATATGAACGGATCTGCATAGACCACAAATACAGCCTGTAAATACATACAAAGCGTAGAATGCAAATTGAAGCAAGGTACACCGATCCAGATACAGAAAGATTCAGTTTTTACAGGCAAAACCGACTGTGAAACAACGAGATTTCCAGACGTGGGTTTGCCGCCTTCGTGTTAAGCAGACTTTGGGTTTGCTACTGATTTTAATGATCCGCGCATTGGATTAAGGTCGGGTTTTGAGTGAAAGCGGTTGTGATTCTGATGTACGTACAGACAGGAAGCATGTATACGATGCAGCCCTAGGGATCCTCCACATCCTGCAGGCTTACTCTCTCTCCACGATGTATCCACCCCCAAGGTAGTCAGAGACGTCTGACTGGTGCCCCTGCCATGTCAAACCGTCCACAAATGAGCCTGGAGCATGCACGACAAGATATGACAGGTGCCTACCCCATGCAGGGCCAAATTCAAGGCGCATCGCAGCCCAAGCAGTCGCCTCTCGCTGACCTCGGTCGCAATGGGTCGCATGTTGATGTGGGCCTCTCAGGTATTCAGCGCCGAGAGCAATCCATGGGAGTGAGTATATCAGTCAAGGCGAAGGTAACTCATGACAAGTCACTCACTTCTGGATTGCAGCCCGATCCCACATTCCCATCCTTTCAAGAACAGCTTGATCATGCAGCTCCAGACTAACAGAAGCACTTATATGGTCATTTCAGAAATACATTTCAAAGTTGTAAAAAAATATCTTCTGGTGGGCTGGTACATATGTTAGAGGGTACTTTCAGGATGGATATGAGCCAACAATCAAAGAAAACGGCGGTTCGGTTATGGAGATATTGCCAAAATACTGACTTTTTAGCCCCACCACCATATGTCACAAACATTGATCTCCAGATGGTCCAGGACCATCACCAATCGATTCCTACACCTGAAAAACCCCAGGACAGTCCTTTACAGTATCGGTTTCAAGTTAAAATCAAGTACAGCAACATATAGGAGGTAGGAGGGAGGAGGAGGACCTTGTATATCTCAGGAATATGATTTTTCCAGGGAAATCTGGCATCACCACCGTGTTCAGAGGGATCAAGAGCCCCCAGGAAAAATGCTTTTGGAGCACTGGCAAGTCATGGGAAGTCTGTAAAAATCGATCTTTGGGTGGGGCAGCATGACAGGGGTGGTCAACTTTGGAACATGATTTTTAGAGCGAAATCTGGCTCGACCATCGTGTTCATATGGTCAAATAACCTCCAGAATGAATCCTACCTAAAGCCAGGCAAGTCATATGAAGGCTGAAAAAATCGATCTTTGAGTGGGGCAGCATGGCAGTGGTGATCAACTTTGGAACATGATTTTTAGAGCGAAATCTGGCTCGACCATCGTGTTCAGATGGTTCAATAACCTTTAAAATGAATCCTAGCTAAAGCCAGGCAAGTCATATGAAGGCTGAAAAAATCGATCTTTGGGTGGGGCAGCATGGCAGGGGTGGTCAACTTTGAAACATGATCTTTAGAGCGAAATCTGGCTCGACCAACGTGTTCATATGGTCGAATAACCTCTGAAATGAATCCTAGCTAAGGCCAGACAAGTCATATGAAGGCTGAAAAAATCGATCTTTGAGTGGGGCACCATGGCAGTGGTGATCAACTTTGGAACATGATTTTTAGAGCGAAATCTGGCTCGACCATCGTGTTCAGATGGTCCAATAACCTCTAAAATGAATCCTAGCTGAAGCCAGGCAAGTCATATGAAGGCTAAACAAATCGATCTTTAGCAAGGAGAGCATCATAGGGGTGGTAGTCAACTTTGGAACATGATCTTTAGAGCAAAATCTAGCATGACCAACGTGTTCATATGGTCAAATAACCTCTAGAATGAATCCTAGCTGAAGCCAGACAAGTCATATGAAGGCTGAAAAAATCGATCTTTGAGTGGGGCACCATGATAGGGCTGGTACTCAACTTTGGAACATGATCTTTAGAGCAAAATCTGGCATGACCATCGTGTTCAGGTGGTCCAATAACCTCCAGAATGAATCCTAGCTGAAGCCAGGCAAGTCATATGAAGGCTAAACAAATCGATCTTTAACAAGGAGAGCATCATAGGGGTGGTAGTCAACTTTGGAACATGATTTTTAGAGCAAAATCTGCCATGACCAACGCGTTCATATGGTCCAATAACCTCTACCATGAGTCCTAGCTAAAGCCAGGCAAGTCATGTGAAAGCTGAAAAAATCGATCCTTGGGTAGGGCACTATGATAGGGCTGGTACTCAACTTTGGAATATGATTTTTAGAGACCAAACTGGTATCACCAATCCATTCATATGGTTTAATAATCTCGAGAATGAGTCCCAGTCAATGACAAATTCGTCATATCAAGGGCTGGTAAATCAATCTTTGGATGGGGCACCATGACAGGGGTGGTAGTCAATTCTGGAACATGATCTTCAGAGACCAAACTGGTGCTGTCAATCAATTAATAGTGTTCAATAACCTCGAAAATGAGCCCTAGTTAATGACATGTTTATCATATAAAGGGTTAGTGAATCGATCTTTGAGTAGGGCAGCATGACAAGGGTGGTGGTCAACTCTGGAACATGATTTTTTTGGACAAAATGAGCATTGCCAGTGCATTCAGAGGGCTTCATAATCTTAAGAAAGAGTCCTAGTTAAAGTCAGACAAGATGGATGAAGGCTGAAAAACTCGAGCTTGAAGTGGGGCATCATGACAGGGGTAGTGAAGACAGCACTGGAGATGTTTGAGGTCAATCAGTCTCAAAAAGAGAAGAAAGAGGTGGATGGTCTGCCATATTCTATATTCTTCCCATTATATTGCCTTTGAATCTCATCATAGAATGATTGGAGCCAAATTGCAAGGATTTAGGGTGACATACCCATGACCGTATCTATGACTGTATCTACACCCACATGGTGGCCTGAAGTGCTGCATTTTCTATGGATCTATCCTTTCATTTGTGCTATAGTAGTAGTATATAGGGTGTCAGAGGAAGTCTAGTGAGTATTATCATTATTCGGCCTAAAGGTAAGATAAATCTCATGTCTATGAAATTTCTACTTCTAATAATAATCCAGAATGTGTAATGCCATCATGTTTCTTCCTCTCGCTTTACCTGACATTGCTTATATATGCAAATATGCGAAGTTTCATCAAGTTTCTTCAAATGAAAAGATGTGGTCTTGTTTGAGACTGATTATCTAAGCAAAAATGCGGTCAACTTGAACCAAAAAAAATCTCTTTCTTTCTTTCTTCTCACTTACTCACTTATTTACTTATTTACTTACTCATTTAATCCTGTCACTATCTTTACTAGTTACTTTACTTTACTTATGAACCTGGGGCTTATGTTGGTGTCACCCTCCATGAGGGTCCTACCATTGTTTATGGTACCAACATTTTTCGCTTCTGAGGGTTTTTTTACTAGTTACTTTACTTTACTTATGAACCTGGGGCTTGTGTTGGTGTCACCCTCCATGAGGGTCCTACCATTGTTTATGGTACCAACATTTTTCGCTTCTGAGGGTTTTTTTACTTGTTACTTCACTTTACTTATGAACCTGGGGCTTATGTTGGTGTCACCCTCCATGAGGGTCCTACCATTGTTTATGGTACCAACATTTTTCGCTTCTGAGGGTTTTTCACTTGTTCCTTTACTTTACTTGTGAACCTGGGGCTTATGTTGGTGTCACCCTCCATGAGGGTCCTACCATTGTTTATGGTACCAACATTTTTCGCTTCTGAGGGTTTTTTTACTAGTTACTTTACTTTACTTATGAACCTGGGGCTTGTGTTGGTGTCACCCTCCATGAGGGTCCTACCATTGTTTATGGTACCAACATTTTTCGCTTCTGAGGGTTTTTCACTTGTTCCTTTACTTTACTTGTGAACCTGGGGCTTATGTTGGTGTCACCCTCCATGAGGGTCCTACCATTGTTTATGGTACCAGCATATTTCGCTTTTGGGCTCTTTTTTTACTTTTTACTTTACTGATGGACCTGGGGCTTATGTTGGTGTCACCCTCCATGAGGGTCCTACCATTGTTTATGGTACCAGCATATTTCGCTTTTGGGCTCTTTTTTTACTTTTTACTTTACTGATGGACCTGGGGCTTATGTTGGTGTCACCCTCCATGAGGGTCCTACCGTTGTTTATGGTACCAACATTTTTCGCTTCTGAGGGTTTTTTACTTGTTGCTTTACTTCACTTCTGGGCCTGGAATCTTTTGTTGGTCTCACCCTTCTATGGGAGTACCACCATTGATTATGGTGCCAGCATATTTCGCTTCTGGGCTTTTTTTACTTTTTACTTTACTTATGGACCTGGGGACTTATGTTG